TAATCAAGCTTTTTTCTTTTTTAAATTTATAATCAAACACTGTTTTCTGTCTGGACATATAGTTAGGCTTAGCAGTTAATTTTGTTTGTTTAATATACAACAATAACTTAACAAGAAATATAACGCGGATATAGTTTTATTAATTAATACTACATTTGACCGTATAAGTCGCCTTTATCTCCCACACCTGTCTGTTTATATATAACTTGTTTGTTTTAAACAAACAAGCCGTGAGTGCCTCCATAAGTGACATGAATAACACCTAATTTAATACTGGTTAAATTAGCAACTAAATTCATGACTTCATTAAACTATTACTCAAGGCTATTTTTGACAAAAACAGCTGAAAAAAATATACTTGAAAGCAAAAAAAGCTAGTTCGTAGTCGAAAACAAATTATTAAGCTAACATCATGAATTATAAGTGTTTAATAAAATTATTTCTTCAAATTACTGATAACTATAAAACGACAGAAATAGGCATATATGTGATATTTTATTTAAATTTAAATTCTACTTTATTGATAAAAATATATTTTGGGATTTATAGTTTTAGCTTTTTAATTAATTTTAAACTTTTCATATTGTGTATAGCTATATATTAAAATATGCCCACTTAGGTTTAAAATAAAATAAAGTAAAAAAACAATATTCACTTAAGTAAAGGTCATGCTATTCATTAGTCATTAGTGTAATGGTTAAAATATCTTCAAGTAATAGAATAAATAATGTGAATGATATAATGATTAATATAGTAATGTGGAAAATGTCCAAAAATATTAGAAAATAAAATAAACCCACTATCTATCATTATCTTAAAATATAATGTTAAAATAATAAATAAATAATGTAAATAGTATAATGATTAACATAAACAATATAGTGTATAAAAATAATAGCAAATAAAACCCTATTGTTAATAAGAGATATTAAAAAAGAATAATAAAACTTTGCTAATGTAAAAAAAGGGTAAAAAATTAATAAATATTTTAAGGGTGATTAAGAGTTGTCAAAGGGTACATTAATATCTTTAGTTGGACAAATTTAAAAATAAAATGTAAAAAAAAAAAAAACATTGTAACTCGTGGAACAAATAAAAAATAGAATTAAAGAAAGAGATATTATCAGTATATTATATAAAATATGTGTATACAATATAAAAATAGCATGTAAGAATATTTAATGAAATTTTATAATGGTATTAATTAGAACTTTTAAGAATATAATAATAAATTTAAAATTTATTTAAAATTTTTAATTATAGAAATCTAATTAAAAATTTAATAAAACTTAAAGAGACTTGCGTATAATTTGGCGTTTAAATATATTAATAATGTTTTTTCATTATTTATGATTTTCTCATACAGTACGTCTCCACCACGATGGATTTCAACTTTTTCCACCAATAGGAGGAGTGGAACCAAATTTTTTAAGCAGAAATTAGGGCTTGACGGTGTGGAGAGAGCCACGAAGCTTAATTTTAAAGCAAAAAAAAAAAATGCCTGGTTTTGGTCGCTAAACATCATATAGACATATAGGCACCTGCACCTCACCCGAGAGAAATGATTTGTTACGCCTTTACATCAGTAGGTAAGGGTTAATTGCACCATTATTTAAAGACAAATAATTATTTGTATATTAAACATTAAATTATACTTTTTAATCTTTTATGTTATTTTTAAAAATTATTTTAATTCTTTATTTTTTAAAATATTCATTTTAAAATTTCATCTTGTAAATTTAGCTGAATTTGTTCTTTTTAAATTGCGATCATTTTTAAATTTATGACATAATTTTAAATCATCTTATAATTAACTGATTTAAGATATAAAATTTATTTTATTAATTAAATTTTATAAAAACTATAAAATTTAATTGATATTTGAATTTAAAAAGTGTTATGAACATAATAAAAATTATGGATAAAATATGTCTAAAAAATAACTAGAAAGTTATTTTATTTAATTTTTTTTATTGTTCCTTGACCTCATTTTTATTTGATTTTTATTATATTTATGACTTTTTTTCAAACATTAATTGTGTTTAATAATATTTATGTAAGTGAATCTAATCAAATAGTTTAAGTCTTGAATAAGTAACAAAAAAATATGATTCAAAATCCAATCGCAAAATAAAAACTAATCAGGAGCAAATTGATATGTGTGTGTGAATTTTATGGATCAAATTGTTGGATTAAATGTTCATAGATCAAATTTATAAATATTTAAAAAAATTTAAAGTCATATAATCTTTCTTATATATTTTCAAATTTATGTATAGAAATATTTTTATGATTATTCTTTAATTATTTGAATCAATGAAATGAATTATCAAATAGTTTTAAATTTTTTAAAAATTTGTAGACTTGATCTATACATTAAAAATTTTTAATTTAATGATTAGATTAATTGAAATTTAATATATACTGAGAGCTATTGTGTAAATTAAGTAACTTTACCAAGAATTGTTCTTGGATTCACTTGATCCCCTCTTTCTGTTTTTTTTCTCTCTATATATAGAGAGAAAGAGGGAAGAGATTCATTTTTTATAAGAGTAAATCTTGGTAGATTTATTTACTTAATAACTCATGTTATAGATCAAATTCTAATGATATAACCATTGAATTAAAAAAATTTAATGTGTATATTAAATCTACGATTTTTTTTTAAATCATAGGTTACTTCGTTGTATAGATTCAAATTAACATATAAAATATTTGTACGATTATCTATTAATTTGAATTAATGAAACGAAATATTAAATAGTTTTTAATTCTTTTAAAAATTTATATACTTAATATATGTATTAAGAACTTTTAATTTAACAGTTGATCATTGAAATTTGATGTAAAAATGAATCATTAAAAAGAGTAAGTCTATCAAGATTTACTAAACTTACTCTTGGAATAATATATTCTTCCTCGTATAAAAAGATATTTATACTCATAAATATTGTATGTACACCGAGTATAGTTATTAACATATATCTATTCTATATTTTTCAATTAAAATTTAAGAAATTGAAATAATTTGAGTGATTTCTACTTAATTAATATTTAAAGATTAAAAAATGGTTAGTTATTTAAAAAAAAAAACTAGCTGTAAAAAAATAATTGAATTCAAAAGGGGGGAAAGTTTTGAATATAAAAAGTAAAGATTAAAATTAAAAGTGTTATTAATATAACGTAAAGACTTAGTTGTAACATTAAAAATTAAATGATATTTAATGCATGTCAATTAATAAAATATTTACATATTATTAGACGTCGTATAATAATAAAGAGAGTACTAAAATATGTTACGTAAAAATTAAGATGTACAGAATGAATAGCCTTCTTAGAATTGGGGTTTCCAAATCTATTGAAACAAAGATGATTTGGGTTTGAAAAAAAAATCTAGTTATACAAATAGTATGTGAAAATATACATCGAAAAGTTAAATAAATTTTTTTTTGAGAGTGACTTAAAAAATGTAGAGAGAAATGATAATCTTAAATTCTTTCTTGTAAATTACGTTTTGTAATTTGTAGGATAGAAGTAGATACTTGTATCAAATATGATAACAATTTTTCACCGAACTCCTGCTCCTGCTAGCTTAAAATTTACATGCTTGGGGGTGATCTCAAGAAATTAACAAAATCTTAGTTGTGATTGCAGATCAGAGGACTCGCCGGTTGGTCCCGTAAAGTCACCATCTATACTTGAAATTTGCTATGACATAATAACAGCGATAGACGTCATCTTCTTTTAATTTTCAACAAGTAATGACACGTGTAGGTGATGAGCATGCACAGAGACGATAGTACAATTCGTTTTTGGACTCAGAATCCTTATACATATGAAGTGCATGCTACAAGATTCAAAACAAAAAGAGGAAGATTAATAGGTAAAGGTGAAAAAATATATTATATTGTAATAAAATAAAATATGTTGCGTATGCATCGCTATTGGCTTAATATCTCATGTCCCTTCACGTGTGAGGCTTGATTTAATATATATATATATATGGTATTCATGAAATACCTGCACTTGTTAGTTGCTACTAAATATTGCATTAAAATAGCTTATAACTCATGTACTCCTATTTAGTATTTAGGAGCATGCACGTTTGTGGGTTTGAACTTTCTTCCGGATAACTTTTAATTGATCCTGGAAGCAAAATAGACAACAGAGCATGTGTGTAAGTACAAAAATAATGGTAAAGTAGTTGTGTTTATATATGTACATTTAGTCAACGTGACTTGAAAACAAGGCAAAGAGCCATTAAGAATCTATAATTAAACTTTTGGGTGCAGCTAAAGTGTAAATTTCCCCTCTTAAGGTATGCTAGCAGATCCCATCAACATCGCGAAAAGTATCCGAACAGGTACACAGCAGCACATTGTAATAAAGGAAAAGTTGCCCGACAGGTACCATTACACTATATAGCGAGCTAACTCAAACTTCAAAACAATTTCATCACTGTCATTTTTGGTAACATGCATGCACCTCGTCAGTGTTTAGTGTTTACTATCTTGCTTCTCAATGTGCAAGATATATTTTTCTGCACCCATAACAACAACACTCCTTATTGTTGGAATTCATGCATTAGTATGGTGGCGAAAACATACACACAGATAATTAATGTATCTGTAAATTAAATTAAATGATGTAAACACACTAAAAGAAAAGTGCGCGGCATCTCTTGTTAGATAGCAAGAAAGGTGGAACGTGTATATGTGAAAGACCCCGCAGCTACTCTATTTATGGTTTCAATTTAAAAGATAATTTGAGCTACATTTATTACTCCCTTTTTTGTTTGATCATTCTTTAAAGAACATTTCGTTTCTATATATGTATGTGTTTATTTAGAAATTAAAAAGAAACATTCACTAGTAGGTTTCAATCTGTTTATCCTTTAAGATTGTACACATACATTAAGAAAGAAAAGTTAATATATGTTTTAATAACATATATATACCGTATGGTGGCTGACTAGGCCGAATACCCGAGTTCGTGGCCGACTAGGCTGAATACCAGAGTTCATGGCTGACTAGGCCGAATACCCGAGTTCTTGGCCGACTAGGCCGAATGTGTCTCATAGCTTGGCCATAGAGAGTGTGCAATAAAGCATGCCCAGTTCGATCAGCAGCACATGCACAGCGGTAAGCTTGACCACCTGTATCATAGCAATAAAAGGATGCCAAAATTAAATTTCATCTCAAAAGAAAAGGCCAACAACCTACACAAATTCTTTTTATACCTTTTCCATAGTTTAAGCTTTGACCACCAAATGCACGCTGATATATTTTTCCATCCTCTGTTCGAGAAAATGGTAATCCATAATTCTCTAGCTCAATGACCGCCTTTGGTGCTTCCCTACACATATATTGGATGGCATCTTGATCTCCTGTAGGCCATAGAGCTTGCATTAATTCAAAAACAAGAAAGAAAAAAGGAACATAGATTTTCAGGAAAAACCCTAAAGGTGAGATCCGAGCGGGTGGTTGGGGGTGAAGTCCGCAAGCGATGCAGTGCCACATTTTCGAGTGAGTGCTTTGTTCAGTGAGTGCCACATTCAGTATCGTTGGCCTTGTTCTCCACTCGTCTCTCCTATTTTTCATGGAAATAGAACCATCGCCGCC